CCTTAATGTCCTCTTCTCCAGGCTAAACATGCCCAACTCCCTTAACCGTTCCTCATAAGGCATCGTTTCCAGGCCTTTGACCATTTTGGTTGCCCTCCTCTGGACACGTTCCAGTTTGTCAGTGTCCTTCTTGAACTGTGGTGCCCAGAACTGGACACAGTACTCCAGGTGAGGTCTGACCAGAGCAGAATACAGTGGCACTATTACTTCCCTTGATTCCTACCAGGACCCTGCCCCAATGGCAGGCGACCCCATGACAGGCATAGCAAGGTCAAGCAAACCCTCCAAATTCAGGGCGGGTGGGCGGGTGATCCGGCTCACGCAGCGAAAGAGAAAGCCCCAAGCTGCGTGATCTGAATTTAAACAGTTCGGTCCCTCCCACCAAATTTGCACCAAGTAAATTCCCCCAGCAACACAGCCAACCAATTAGATACCATCGGTGATATTTTATCACCCTGCCTGGCAACAGAGGAGTAACTCAGCGGACCCCACCGCAACACGTGCTCTCATTTAGGGAGAACACACTATATGTGAAGGGCCTGTGGTTCTATTTCTCTCTTATTTTCTTTTTCATGACTGCTTATGTTGTACTAACTTGCGTCTTTATGGCTAAAGTCATTGTAAGCAATGTCATCAGGGGCTACCACCATCGCAAGTCAATCAACGGTTCTGAAGTGCTACTTGATTTCGTTGGTTCAAGGGTTCCACTTGCCTTTTCACAATTCAGTGCCCCCTGCCACTGCACGCACAAGGCCTCTCAACTAAGAATTCATTAGGACTCATCTGTTCAGTTCATTTGTCACTGATCTGGTTTTCCCCCACTGCTTGGCTTCACTTTATTGGCCATCCAGACAGAGAAAGAGATTGTTGGTGCCAATACAACTGAGCCTTCTGATTTACTCCATCACTGAAGCAATCAGCTGAGGTTGATAGCAAATCATTTCCCTCTCTGAAAACAGAAAGAAAGAAAATCAAAGCTGATTTTCCCAATTGCTCTCTTATTTAAGCAATGATAAACACAGCCATTTGCTTGGGAGTAAACAGAGAGAGCCTCAGGAAAAAAATCCTTTCTTACTGTTGCAATACAATGAGACGTTCTAATAAAGTTAAATTCAGAAGGGTTCTTTACGAGAGCTGAAAGAAGGAGTTTTGTTTTGCTTTGGTTTTTTTTTTTAAAAGTTGAACTTAATTTCTTAAAGCCTGGGTTGCGTGTCGAGGTCCCCAGGGCCACCCGAATAACTCACACATCACACAGAAATTTTGTATAAGGTTTTTGGCATACTTTTGGCCACAACTTTATTAAAATACAAAAATTTGAGTGGTTGCTTAGGCACTGGTTGCGACTATCTGCCCCCCCCCCCATGGGGGACAGACTGACATTCTGCACGCCTGCAAAAGTCAGAAAAGGGGAATACACTTGGGGGTTGCGACGGAGCAGGGAACCTGCCCTCAGCCCTCCCCAAATGCAACCAGGAGCTCTTTCAATGCCCCGAGCCCCCTTGAGAGGGTGGACAAGCAATAGTTAGCCCCCGATTCCTTTAACAGAATCCCTTGCAGCAGCAGCATTAGAGGGGCAGGCACAGCCAATCCATGCCCCTCAACCAACCAAACCATAAACCAGTGCCTAACCGCAACCTTACAAGTTGTGACGATTTCCTACGCAGTAGGCAAAAACCAAATGGCCCCAGCCAATCCGCCAGATGGACAAAATTCCTACCGGGCCCCTGCCCCAAGAGCAGACGACCCCATGACAGGCATAGCAAGGTCAAAGCGAACAACCCTAAATATAGGTAGGGGGAGGGGCAATCCGATGCATGGGCGAAAAGAGGAAGCCCTAGCCTCATGCAAGGAGTTTTAGCATTTCTGGCTGTCAATCAACAAATGGCAACATTAACTTCTTCCCAGCAACAAGGGAAGCCCAATCGCATCAGTGGCCAACAATCAATTAGCCCACCCCCAACTTTGGAGTGTCCTGGCGGCCCCCACCGCAACACGTGCTCTCCATGAAGGAGAACACGGTTTGCTGTATTTCTTCTTAAGACCTTGCTTCCGTGATCTGCTGAGTTCTTTTCCTGTTGCTTTTACTCATTTGTACTGCACTGTTCCCCATTTTTAGTTCTCCAGCTTTTCACAGATTTCTTCTGCCTCAGAGGCTCAGGGTGACTTTACACAATTAGGGGACTTTTAAACACAAAAGATTATGTTTCTGATCATCAAAAACCAATTGTGCCAAATTCCTTAGCCAGGAGCAGTGGGGAATAACAGTTTGCTTTCAGAATTCTGAGAAAGATATAAACAAGGAATAAAACCCAAATACTAAAAGTTTCTAATGATTTTGCTTCCCATTGAAGGTGGGCATGTGGTTGTTGAGGATGAATAGAAATGCCCAGTTTTCTGCAAATGCATGACTAGTGGACTATATTCTTACTGATGTGCATGTATAAGATCCATTCAATGTAATGGGATTAGATTCTCCAGCATGAAGGAGCTCTTATATCCATCAATCTTATGAACTCATAGTTCTTCTTTCTGCAAAGTCATGATTGTGCATTGCTTGAAACTCTTAAATCAGAAAGTTACTTTTTCATCATTTTGTCATTTCAAATCATTCCGGAGGGCAGGAGGGGGGAGGAAACCAACCAAACCTTTGTGATACAATGGAAACGGATAAAAAAAATCGGTGCCAATACTATGGTTACCAGATTGTTTTCAATGAATCCGGGGACACTTTTTTTGTTTTTTGATGCTGAGTAGCAACAGGGAGTCAGTAGTGGGGATGGTGAGGCAAAAGACCCTGGGCCCAAGCACATATGCATATTGTATAAAGGTGCAAAGCCCTTCTTTTGCACCCTGTGAAACAACATGTGCGCAGCTCCAGGTGCCGGAGTAGCTAGCTCTGCCTCTGACCCCACCTACTTGTTTCTTTCACAATAGAGCCTATTATTATTATTATTATTATTATTATTATTTCATTCTATTATTTATATTTTATACATTTATTTATATTTTATACAGTGGTACCTCGGGTTAACATACATTTCAGGTTACAGACGCTTCAGGTTACAGACTCCGCTAACCCAGAAATAGTACCTCGGGTTAAGAACTTTACCTCAGGATGAGAACAGAAATCGTGCGGCGGCAGTGGGAGGCCCCATTAGCTAAAGTGGTACCTCAGGTTAAGAACAGTTTCAGGTTAAGAATGGACCTCCAGAACGAATTAAGTTCTTAATCCAAGGTACCACTGTACTTTCTTTTTTTTCTTTTATTTTTTGACACAAAGTAATGATCACAAATAAATAAGAATAAAAATGTGCACCTCACCACCACCATTCCATTGCAACTATCCAAACTCTCAAAATTCCAACAGCTCTTGCAATGGTTTTACCCCTTTCCATTTTAAAAGTACAAATTCTACAAACACCCTCCATATCTCCTCAAAATCATTTCTCCTGCATATTTCCCATCTTACCTCAATGGCACATGTTAATTTATCATTAATAGCTATATCCCACACCTCTTTATACCATTCTTCCATTTTATATTCTGCTTGCCCCTTCCACTTCCTAGCTATCATAATTCGTGCAGCTGTCAATAAATTTGTGAGCAAGTCCTTCATAGCCTGTGAACCTTCCACCCCATCATAAATTGATAACAATGCTACTTCTGGACTTTTGGTCAACTTTAACCCAGTGATTTCTGTTATCTCCTTAAACACCCTTTGCCATTTTTAAAAACATATTTAGACCCCCACTACTTGTGAACATTATTCTGTTTCCTGGCATCTGAGCCCATTATTTTAAGATGGAGCTCAGTCTTTTAAGATGCTGGGTACTTAACCGGCCAACCAAAGGCCATTACCTTGACAAACAAAATGGTTCCACAGGCTTCCTCTCATACATTCTACCTCCACTGATCCAGGATCACAGTGGGTTTCATCCACACTGACCCCCACCAAATTCATAACAATATGTATACAAGAAAATTTAGAAATAATCACTAATTTTTGACTGAATATCATATAAACAGAAGGAAGAATACAGGCAACCATAGATTACCACAATGGTTCAGAAACTTCAGCTGGTTTCAGCATAGAACGCCAATCCTGGCCCAACTGCACGGGCTGCCAATTAGTTTCCAGGCGCAATTCAAAGTGCTGGTTTTAACCTATGAAGCCTTAAATGGTTTAGGACTACTACACCTCAAGAAGAAGAAGAATTTGGATCTGATACCCCACTTTATCACTACCCTAAGGAGTCTAAGAACTGGCTCTCCCCATATGAACCAGCCTGGGGGTCCACAAGAGGTCCAAAAGGTGGCAAGATGCGAATGGGCCTTTTCTGTGGTGCTCCCCGCTTGTGGAATGCTCTCCCCAGGGAAGTTTGCCTGGTGCCTTCATTATACACCTTTAGGCGCCAGGCAAAAATGTTCCTTTTTAACCAGACCTTTGGTTGACCTGATCGACACCCTATACCCATGCTTCCATATCTATATTATAACCAATATCTATTGCCCAATATATCATTGAGGAACTTACTTCCTCATCCTTTGTGTCCCATTCCAATAATGTCTTATACATTTTAGACAGCACTTTTACATTACATTCCAACAGATTTCTCTCCAGTTGTGATATTTGTTCCCCAAACCCTCGTATCCAATCTTTCTTAAATAATTGGTTCAAATGATGATGTTGTTAAACTGTCTGATAATTCCTTAAATTCTTTTAATTGATACTCTCCTCCCTCTTGTTTTAATAAAAATATATAAAGTTTGTTATCTTGATTTCTTATTTTTCTAGTAAGATTTGCCATTTCTGCATATTCCATAAGTTTTTGTATCCATTCTTCTTTTGCTGGGACTTCTTCTTCTTCTTCTTCTTCTTCTTCTTCTTCTTCTTCTTCTTCTTTCCGTTTTTGGGCAAGTAACATTCTTGCCACTGTAGATGCCTTCATACTGTTAGGGAAAAGAACCTCCAGGTATAAAAAAATGACCAAAGACCAGCATATTTGTAATAAAACCTTTATTAGAAGGTATTTAATTGAAAAGGTATTTAATTGGGGAAGGGGGAACTGGGCCTTGGTGGGGGAGCTCAGCTTGAGCTGCTGGCCTCACTGTTGCCGCTGCCTGGAAGAGAAAAGAACAGAAAAGATTCTTAATATTTCCATTGATTATTACTGCAAGGATCTCCAAGTGGCCCACATTATTCTCCCTTCCTCATCCAATCCCTAAACTCTTCTTAAATCAGGGAGCTGCCTCCCCGCCCCCCAGCCAGCCAGATTCTCTCTGGCCTCCCTGTTCTTCGTGAACAAAGATCAACACTCACCACTGGTGGAATCACTGGTGGCATCCATCCCCTGGTCCCTCGGTCTCACATAAATCGTATGAATTCTAATCTTTCTGCGATCAACCATTACTGTATCCTCCTCCAAATGGTCCAGGGGATGGATTTTGGTGGCACGGCAACAGGAGGCCAGCAGTTCTCGCAATCTGCACAGACAGCGAGATCTAGGAAAGAAAAGAAAGAAGGTCACGAAACGGATTATTTCCTCGATACTCTCTATCCCTGCACTCCCAGCTATTTCCTTGAAAGCATCTAAGGGGGCCCTGAGGACAATCTTTAAAAATTAATCTAACCATGACCTGGCTCCCTATGTGTCTAAATCTTAAGGGATAGCTAAAGAAATAGGGGGAAGAATAAGAGATTCTACTTACAAGCGGGACGACTGAACCTTCATTATCTCCAGAAATACACTCTCACCAAATACAATCATTAAATTCAAATAGTTGGTCTGCCCAAAGTTCTCAGCCAAGTCACTCAGCAGGGGACGTGTCACAATGGAGGACATGACATCATCACTCTAGCTACCTTGCCTAACAATGGGCATCACTCCTCTTAATATTATTTTTCAAATATATCTTTCAGTGGATTAAGTGGTTTTATTTAATTAATTTAGAATATGGTTACCAGTTTTTTTTCCAATGAATCCGGGGACAGGGTGTTTTTTTGTTTGTTTGTTTTTTAGCTGAGTAGCAACAGGGAGTCCGTAGTGGGGATGGTGAAGCAAAAGATCCTGGGCCCAAGCACACATCCATATTGTATAAAGGTGCAAAGTCCTTCTTTTGCACCCTGTGGAACATAAATGCACAGAGTTTTTTTAAAAAAACTGGGCAACGGCCGCCCGCCCACAACTCCCAAGCCTCCCCCAATCAGTCAAAACAAAGGGGGAAGGGAGCAGGAGATCTGTACCACCAGACATCCCCGGTTCCCCTTCAGAAGTGGCAGCAGCAGCGGCAGTCAGCAGCCCGGAGCCAGCCTGGTAGCGCAGTTGGCTCTGGCTGGCTTCAGGAGCAGCTTGCTTCTGTGGCACCCGCCAGTTTGCTTCCCGGAAATCCCCATATGATGTGTTTTGTGCACAACACATCATATGGGGAGTTCCGGCAAGGAAAAATGGCGGGTGCCATGGCCGTGAGCAGCAAGCAGCTCCTGAAGCCAGCCAGAGCCAACTGCGCTACCAGGCAGTGTTGCACACATCAAATGGGGACTTCGGGTGAGGAAAATTCCGGGCGCCACAGCAGCGAGCAGCTCCTGATGCCAGCCAGAGCCAACTGCGCTGCCAGGCTGGCTCCGGGCTGCTGAGGCTGCCGCTGCCACATTTCCCGGGGACAGATTTGCAAATCTGGTGACATTTCGGGGACAGAATTTGCCCTGGGACAGATTTGCAAATCCGGGGACTATCCCCGGAAACCGGGGTCATCTGGTAACCCTAGCCAATACCCCTTTTGAAAATAAAGTAATGCCCAGTTATTTTTGTTTTAAATTGTCATTAATTCACATAATGATTTGTGCAGCAGGAAAAGGATGGCAAATGACTCCATCTGTCTGACTTGCTTCTTTCTCTCTTTTCTTCTTTGCACAGTTGTGTTCTCTGCTAATTAAATGGGTGAGTGCAAAGAAGTTGGAGGACTATAATGAACCTTGTCATATAATAGGATGCAGTGACAGGGCCACCTGCCCTAGGCACAATCCAGATAAGGACACAAAATGGGCAACAAATGGCAATTATGAACATAGCTTTTAAAGATCTGACCTTTCTTTTCAGTTTGGAATTGTCATACAGATTTATTTTCAAGAGGGTGGATGAAAAGCCAGGTAACAGCTTGTTCACAGGCCAAACAGAGAGGGATATTTTTTTCTAGTGTAGCTTTCTAATTGCTCTGTGTCTGCAGACTCATACATATAAAGCACATTTGTCCACTGAATATGGATGGTATGTGATGAGAAAATTAGATATATATGACCTCTATTGGGGTGATGCTGATGGGACAGAAACAACCAGCAGTTTGGTGGGAAGGTGAGTAAAGGTAAAGGTAAAGGGACCCTTGACCATTAGGTCCAGTCGTGACCGACTCTGTGGTTGCGGTGCTCATCTTGCTCTATTGGCAAGGGAGCCGGCGTACAGCTTCCGGGTCATGTGGCCAGCATGACTAAGCCGCTTCTGGTGAACCAGAGCAGCGCACGGAAACACCATTTACCTTCCCGCCGGAGCGGTACCTATTTATCTACTTGCACTTTGACGTGCTTTTGAACTGCCAGGTTGACAGGAGCTGGGACCGAGCAACGGGAGCTCACCCCGTCGCGGGGATTCGAACCGCCGACCTTCTGATCGGCAAGTCCTAGGTGAGTAGTAGGTTCTAAATGTTCTGGTCGTTTTATATTGTTATTGTGTGACCAGGCGGTGACCGCCCCAGCCCTCAGAGACCACCAGAAAGGAATAATGACTCTGACGTGTTATGGAATTAAAATTTGGCCACAGCTTTATTAGACTTCAAATGTAAGAAGATCTTGGCTTAGGCATTAGGCCTGTATCCCTCCCAGGAACTGGGGCTCCTCAGGGTAAATGGTATATGGGGGTGCTCTGCAAGATGTGTACACAGGCAGCCCACCCCAAATTCCCTGCACTTAGGGTAGTTCACTGACAACCTTTCAGTGTATGGCCAGTGACACCCATATTACAACCCTTTTAAGAGGGGACCCTGGAATTGCTGCTGCAGGGGGGTGAGTCACCACTTCACACACCCCCTCCCATTTTAGGGAAGAAAAAACTAAAGGATTCCACCCAAGGCCTTAAACCACGAAAGTTGTGATGAATTGCTATGGGGAAGATAAGACCTGCCGATGCAGGAAATTTTCTTCCCGGCTCTTCAACAGCAACCAGTCAAAAGACCACAGTAGCGCCCACTAACATGAAGAAAAAAGGTTAACCTGCAAACAGGAAACATTAAACAAAGGGAGGGTTGGGTGGGTGAAGCTCCTGTGCCGACTGCCTGGCTGCTGCCAGCTCCACCTCCTATTTATGAGACTCGCCCCAGGGAATTTACACCAACTGAGGCGGGCGTGAACCTCCAAAGAATAACACTGAGAGGCAGGCCAGCCCATACAAACTGGTAAGTTCCCTGGGGTCCGAAGCGCTATTGTCCTAGAATGGCCCTGTTCTATGAGAGTTACCATAAAAATGTCCTTGAAACACAATATCAAAAATCCTCTGAGAAACCCCACTCAGCACTGAGGAAACTGCTGGATGAAGACAATGGAACAACAAACCTGCCTTATTCTCCATCTGGTCCATCTAGCCTTATACTGTCTATATTGACTAGGAGGTCTCAGACAGAGAACCACATCATCTTCTACCTGATCCTTCTAACCAGAAATGCCTAGGACCTTCTGCATAGATATCATCTGCTCTGTATCATCACATTGACTTTGGACTCCTCCTCTGAACACTCAAGATGTTGCAATGTAGTATTGGACTGATATTGCAAGAGCTACACTGATTTGGTGGATGGGTGGGAGAGGAAATAAATACACCTGAAAATTATCACTGTTTTCCAAGGAATACCATGGTCATGTTCCTCAACCCTTTCAGCTAGAGCCAATATTTCCATTGAATTCAAATCAAATCAGCCACAGCTGGGCTCTGTATTATATCATAAACAAAGTGCCAGAAATATCATCTGTACATAGGTGCATTGGACTTTGAAATCTCTTATAAGCTTCACAGTTCCTAAATGCAACTGAATTACTAGTAGGTTCAGTTCCAAATTGGCAGTTCCATCTAGGCTGGAGGGAAAGAGACACGGGTAACTCAAATCCAAATGTTGTTAGCCTTTGAAAAAGCTGAAAGCTTTATTCTTGCCTTTTGTTCACTAGCGTCTTGGGACAATGCAGCTGAGAATAATTTTGTTTTGAAGTGAGCAGAGCACTCAGTTAACATGCACAAGGCAGGATCAGGCCACATATTTTCAGTTGGAAAAATGATAAGTCACACAACAGATTGAGTTGTCACTTTGAGGTCTGATATGAGAAATGAAAACTGAGCAGGAAAAAAAAATGCCTAAAATTTAGACATCGGAATCGTCCCCCAATTATAATGTCCTTCATTCAGTGTGACAGGAAAGATAGTTATAGCTTTGCAGAGCTGAGGACAGGATTTCACAGGAATAAAAGAACTTTTACTTGGGTATAAATTCCATTGGCAACAGTTTTCCCTGATTGTTATTCAGAAATACAAGGAGATTCCAATTAGCTATTATTTGAGGGTAAATCTTAAAGCTTTAATCCTATCCAACTTTCGACAGCATCATACCTGACCAAATAGAGATGCCAACTGCAAAATGCAATTTTTAAGACCTAACATCACCCTAATTTAAATTAAGTTAAACAACTAAAAAGCAGAGAGTCATAGATTGTTTATATTTTGTGAAGCTCTGTCCACAGTGGTTTAAAAATGGCAAGGTCGGTTCTGAACTAACTTACCTTCGATCAGATTCAAGAACATATGAGGAATTACTGGAGGCACTTAAAAATAGGAGGAAAATCATCTGTGTGCATACAACAGAATAATGAGAGAAGGCGCAAGAATAGTTGGGTAAACTGGGGCCACAATCTAATCAACAGGCTGTGTACACACAACATTTTATCATAGAATCTATCAATGGCGACTAAGTACTTGGGTTTTGTCTAGTTTTTTACATGGTCCCAGTGCTTTTTTTCTGGGGGGACGCAGGGGTACACATACCCCTAAACATTTTGTGAATCTTTGTACTTTTGTCCATTTACTGTATTTATTTTCCCCGATTTGAACTATAAAATGGTGATTTTCTTGAGTCAAAATGAGAGTACCCCTAAACATTTTTTAGGGGGAAAAAGATCCACTGCATATTTTTTGCCCCTGAAAAACACTTCTTGAGAAATGGATTATTATGTGATGAACAAGAAACTAGAGAAGACACCAACATCTGATTTTTTTGGTCTTCTGCAGAAGAAAATCCAATATTTACAGGTGTGTCTAATGAAGTCTTAGAACAAGCATTAGATTTGTAATTGTATTCTAATTTGGCATTGTTATTATGGGGCTATTATTGGATTGTTGTAATTAAAAACTAATAAAAATTATTATCAGATAAAAAAGAACAAGCATTCGATTTTCCAGCTGTTACAGGAGACCCAGTGGTGCTTTATTCATGATACTGTGTAAAGCAACTGTGTTGTACAAAAGAGGAAATATCAAATGGATCATCCAGTCATTTTAATGGAGAAAGATGTGCAATAGTTAGGACTTTGGGGGATGATAAGCTTCTCCCTCTTCCCTCATCCCTATTTTCAAATGCTGACTTTTTTAATGAAAGAGAAACATGAATGCTCATGGATGTACTGTAAGCACAATGTGTTTTTATTTATTTTTTATGAGTGCACAATTCCCACCCACCCAATTTCTCAAATAGTAGTACAGTGGTACCTCTGGTTGCGAAAGGGATCCGTTCCAGAGGCCCGTTCTCAACATGAAAGAGCGCAACCCACAGCGGCGCATCTGCACATGGGCGGGTTGCGATTTGCCGCTTCTGCACATGCACATGATGTCATTTTGTTTTTCTGTGCATGCGCGAGTGGCGAAACCTGGAAGTAACCCT